TTTTGGAAAAAAGAATTATATTATTTTAATTTTTACACAACTAATTAAATTAGTATGAGGTTCTAATTGGACCATAAGCAAAAAACCTATTCATTCCACATAACAACCAGACTTGGAGAAATAATAAAAAATAGTAATAACTACAATATTAATATGTTGCTTTCTAGAAATAATGCTTTTTTTACTTCATTCACACTCTAAATAGCAAGTCTAAGGTTTGTTCTGGGTCCTTCTGAGCTCTCTTTGGTCCCACCACTTGTGTTAGAGATACAAGGAGGGAGAACAGAAATACTGAACTCACCACATTAACTAGGCTAAAAAATAGTAATTGAGTGTGTTCTAATTACAACAATGATTAATTCCTCCAAGCCTTTAGGATTAAAAAAGAGCATTTCTTTTACTGCAAAATAGGTAACAGCACCTGTTGTATCAGCAGCAAAAGCATCTGAGCCCTAACTTGTTCAAAAGCCAGTTTGGTCCATGCTCATCAGCCAGGATTTCCAAGTGTAATTGCCCCTAACTGGCACAAGCACAGTAATGGGCTGCTAAAATTGGAGACAAAGAGCAGAAAGTTTTAAGAAGAATCTTGGCAGCTTTAATTCCTCTCTTGCATGATGACAATATTGATTCCTAATAAAGGCAATTAAATATTCACTATTTAACATCTCACTGTGTCACTCCAGAAAATTAGTTCTCTTCTCACATATTCTGTTTCTTTTATTCCATTACACAAAGTCCACTGGTAACTGACTGCCACAGAAAACTGCACAAGCTTTAGTCACTCATCTTTACTCTTACCAAAATCACAGAAATGCCACGAGATTTAAGGGTTGCTTTGTCACTTGGCTATTTAGGAAACCCCTTCTGGAGATGTAAGAGACGGTCCAAAGATTCTCTCATCTGTCTCACAACCACCTCAAGGACAGAGACTGAGACCCTGAATATCACAAGGGATTTGGTTTGGGGGTTTGGGCCTAGCTGAGGTGGATGTTTGCCAAGTGATTGTTTGCAGGTGGTTGCGCGGTGCGCTGCCCTCGTTCCTGCTGGTGAACAAAGGCTTGCAAGACGTGGTTTGCTCTGTACCCTACACCTGCCTCCTGAGCAATGGAATTCATCACAACGATCATCAATCTCCTCTGGTTTTGGCCCTGTGCCCCTTGCTTTGTAAAAGACTGTAAAATACACCCCAAAACTTCCTGGCATTTGAGATCTCCCCAACGGACAGAAGACTCTGCGTCGGTGAACGGCTGAGTGGACTTTGACGTTGGCAGCTATAATCCCCTTACTCTCTTTTCCTTACGCTTTGCTTTCTCCTCTTTTCCCTCTATCGCATATTAGTGCTGATGAGCACTCCATAAACTGTGTGTTTTGCTGTTGAAGTCCCTGGTTTGCTGATAATCTTTTGTACTCTAAGACCGACTAAAAGAACCGCATCATGAACCCCACCTTGCGGATCCTGACAGAGACCAGGGATACCCACAGGGGTGGTTCCAGCCCGAAAACCTGTGTGTCTCCCCAGGAGGCACTCGGGGAACACAGAGCTTGTCCATCAGTGCTGGTGGAGCCACGAGCTGGGCAAGAGCATCCTTGGCCTGGCACCACCAGAGAGAGCCGTGAGCCTCTGCCCCCCTTCTGCTGAGCTGCAAACACCATCTGCCCACGTGTTTTGGGGTTGTTAAACCCTGTATCAGAGCCCCACACATTGGTTTTGGTGAAGGATAATTTCAAATCCAAGTTTCTCTATGGAGGTGTGTATTCCCCAATGCTTCCCCGAAATTTCACTCTGCTGTTTCGGCCTCGGGTTGCGCCTTGTTTTGGTATAAAGGAACTAAAAACAAACAGCAGAAAAACTGTGGGAGTATTTTAAGACAAAGAAGCCTGGTGCCTTTCCTGTGACCTTTCCAGAAAAAGAACAAATCTTCTGTGTTCAAGGTTAGAAAAGCTCCCTATTAGCACAAGGCTTACCCAGAATATTGCTGCCTGAAAGATTAAACTTCTGTAAATATAAGCACTGCAAAAAAAAGCATTTACAATGAAACCTGACAGCCAGACCAGCCACAATGTACCCACACCAGCCCCACAGCTGTCTGCCAAGCTTCATGGGAGAAATATACTTTAAGGAACATGCTTTAATTCATTATCCTTTAAAATGATGATGTGATACAACAGGAAAACACACATTAGCTGCCTCAGTATCTTTGCAAAATAGGTGTCTGGCAGTTCAGTGCTGTGTGATTCCAGTGTGGGTGGCAGTGCTGCCACCCAGACCAACGCTGAACAGAGATGCTTCTGTGCAAATAAATAGAAAAATATAGAAGCAGCTATTACTGGAAGGAAATGACTTTGTGGCACTTTTTTTAAAAATATTCCGCTTCATTGGAGTGACACATTGTGCTCTTCTATTTTGATGTTTATTCCTGGCTGGTATTAAACCAGAGGCTGAATCCATTCATTTCAGAATTCAGACAAATGATTAATTCATACTATGCATATTAAAATATTATACACATATGTAAAAGCAGCACAACTCTACCATGCAAAAAAAAAAGATGAAAATATCTATACTCACAATTAAAAGGCAGCACATCACACTTTCAAATGCCAAAAAAATAAGAAACAATTTCTCACAGTTACAAAATAAGTACGCAGCAATTCCAAGCTCTTTTTTTTGAAATTATAGAATTAAACTTTAAAGACATGTCCTCTGCCAATACATCTCCTGAAATTTCCTTTTGACTTTGCAACAAGGACAACTGCCCAAGGCTTTGCTAATCAATTTCTTGTGTTGCAGAAAACAGCGTAATTCTAATTTTTTCCAAGAATACAGTTTGAAATGCAGAAAATGTGAAGAGCTAACTAACATGCAATTATTTGTAGCCACAGTCTGCATACCAAGGGAGAAGAAAGCTGAAGTCAGTTAGCAGTTATTGCTATTTTAATACACAGAGCCACTCATCATGGCTTAAGGCTGCAATAACCAAGAGTGAACCCAGCTACCCCTCTATTAGCATGCTTCAAAACACAACAAAACCCAAAACAAAACAATACAAACCCAACAAACTTTCTTTGCTCCATAAACATTGATTTTAAAGGAATAACAGAGTGGGAATTTGTTTTGTTTTGTTTTGTTTTGCTTCAGGAACTCTTGCTATATATGAACACCTGAACAATTTGCAGTGCTCTCTTGCAGTATATGTCACATCCTGAAATGTTCCCAAAGGTCACGTTTTCAGCTTTCCACCCTGGGTTTTCCTTTCTAGAAAAAGATGTGGTGTGATGCAGGGAGCCCCTGGCTGTGTGCTGCTCTCTCCAGACAGGCTCAATATGCACAGACTCAGTGTTTTCCCTGTACCTCACACTCACAGGTCTGCAAGAACTGCCATGCAGAGAGAAGGATGCAGAGGAAGCACATCCAGCACATCCTTTTCCATTCCCATGCCCCTCCTGCCACGTTGCCCACATCAAGCATTCCTCCACAGACTGAACACAAAGTCTGGGCAGTAAAAGCCCCTCTAACTCTGCTTCTTTCAGAACTTCAGAGTGTGCAGTCCTTTCAGTGGATAAAAGTTGAGAATAAAAAGTTAATTTTTCATTACTGTTTTTCAGAAACTAAACTAACTTTTTCTCTTTTTATTTTATTTTATTTTTTGTTTTTTTTGTCATTAAAGGAATTTTTCTGTCACTCTCAGAGGAGCTGAGGAAGCCCTCCCTCCTCAGGGCTCTTCCAGCTTGAACAGTGCAGCTGAGCAGAGTTGGCACAGGGCTTCTACAGACAAAGGCTGATTTCCACTAAAAGAACTGAATTTTACAAAACATCTCTGTCTCACAAGGCATGGAACTTTGAGAGAAAGTCTTGCACAGTGATCCTTAGGCTGTCTTTCCTATATTTAGAATTGACACTTCCCCATCCATCTCTGTCTAGAACTCAGAAGCTTCAGGTAAGTGAAGTCACACCACCAGAAATTTCCCAGGAAAAATCATTATGGATTACTCCTCAAGTTTCTGATACAGTTTTATTTTCCCCTCTTCTAAAACCAGGCGTGCTTCTTCTGACTTTCATAGCACCAAGTCAGGAATAACTCCAAAGATGATGGCAGAGGAATCAGTAAAGCAACAGAGCTACAACTTTCACTGCCTAAAGGACCCACAAATTTCCTTTGATTAGCAGCTGAAATTTTATTTACATTAGGGACACACAATTACAGCTCGAAGTGAATTACTTATTTTCATTTTGAAGAATTGGTGATATTCTAGACTATGGAAACAAAATATATAGGGCTTATAGTTCATCCAAGTAGTACAGCATAGCTATCACTCAAACATTTCAGGCCTTATACCAACAGAATTGAGAAAGACAAAAATATTATTCATGCAGATGTATTGCTTCTCCCATGTTTGATTCTTTGGTCATCATTTAAAAATGACTCATTACACTTTTCCCTTTTGAAGTTTCCTAAAAAAAATTCTGTAATCCAGAACTTAGTAGCAACCTAATGGTGATTTTTTACAAATGATTTATACCTAACCCTCTGAAGAAAAGGATTTATAATGAAAGTGATAGCTCAAGCTTAACTGCAGCACTGGGAATGGTGACACCATAATTAATGTATTATTTCAGTTGTGGGAAAAACTGACAGTAGCTTTTTGTTCTGGGGAAGAAATTTATAGGGTGATGGAAAAAGGCCCCGTGGAAAAAAAAAAAGATCACAGAAGAGGAATAGAAATCCTTGTAGCAAAGACATGTCCTTACAATCCCCCTCCTGAAGGCTATAAAATCCTGGCAATGACAGTGTTTCCTCTACGGTCTAATTTATACCTTTCTCCTCTACTAGATGGCAGTGTGACATGCTCTCAGAATTGCTAAGTGAGGGGGTTTCTTGCTTTGTTTCATAGGAAGCAATTAATTTAAAATATCATCTTGCTGGCATAAAAGAGAAAAAAAAAAACCCAACAAAGTTTGCCACTGGCTGTGTGTTTTGAAATCAAATCTGGCTACTTACGGGTTCCACATCGAAGGCAAATAGTGCATATTCCCTGTCAGGTGACACTTCATACCGGATAGCCTTTAAGGAGACCTGGAAAATAAACACATTTTGAAACTATGTTCTTCAGTTTTCAAGCTAATGACACCTAGAACTAGTTGTGATCATCAGTCAAAGGGTGAAGGTGCTGCCAGAATTGTCTTGAAAAATACAATGTCTTTTTTTCACACACCAGAAATGTTACGTGGGCACCCATAAGAGAAAGAATAAATGCATTGTGACTCAGAGCAGACAGCTGTATCAAAAAAAACAGAATTTCCCTTACAATCTTTCTGCACAGTGGCAGATGTAGGCAGTAGTTAGTAGAAAACTCTGATAAATGGGAATTTATTAATTCCCTCTAATTATCTATATTCACTGGCCAGAGCAGGAGATGAAAGACTAAATAGCTTCTGGAGCAAATTAGTAATAGAGACACCACTACCTCCCCCGGTTAAGATAACCCAGGGAAAGCCATTCTGTTTTCCCCAGTTAAAAGTCTTTGGGATGCTGCAGTGATTCAGTGCACCCTGACCTGGGGTCTGCAAGAATCAGCACTGTAAATCTTGCTAACAAGAAGAAATGCCAGGGTGTCTCAGACTTGCCAGAAATTACCTTTTTCCAGCTCCACTTTTCATTTATGTAGTGAAGCCATTTCCACTTCCCAGTATAATGCATTGCTGGCACAGATGGCACCAAGGGCAAAGAGTGCCACTAACACATCACTCCTCCACTGCCTTTTAAATCTCACCCTCGCACCCAACAAATTAGATGTAAGTCCTTGAGGGAGTCCCACAGAGCAGAATTGAAAGGGGACTGGGGGAAAGAGAGCAGCCCACTGGGGAGAGTCCTCCCAAGGCCAGCGAGGATGGATGTGCTGGGGGAGCCCAGGGGACAGGCAGGAGCTGAGGGGACAGCTCACACCATCGAAGGATGATTTGGGTTGGAAGGGACCCTAAAGGCTGCCTAGTCCAACCCCAACCCCCTGCAAGGAGCAGGGACAAAAAAACCCTGACCAGGCTGCTCAGAGTCCCATCCAACCTGAACCTGAGCATTTCCTGGGAAGAGGCTCCCACCACCTCTCTGGCACATCTGACACCCACACTGGCTGATGGCCCAGTGCAGAGCAGGATGGGGAGGGACAGGGGAGCCTGGCAGCCAGCAGTGCCTGCATGGACACAGATTTTATTTACTGCTGTGTTAAGAACACAGGGGAGGGAAAACATGACCAAGTAGCAAAAGCTTTCTGGGGCTGGGAAGGAAGAGGAAAAAGACAATGTGTGTGAGCGAAGTGTAGTGTCAGCTCCTGCCCTTTCTGGATGAATGTGGAGGTGACCTGCAGATGTATCTACTGAGAGGGCAGAGGAGCAAAGGTAGAACAGGCAGTAGGGTGGCAATGGCATGAAAATGTAGGATTATCTTGTAGCACTGTGCTTTTCTTACAAATGGCAAAAATTAAAACCCAGTGGAATAAACAGAGGCCAAATGGAAGTAATTTGACTTCAACAGACCTTGACATTAAAGGAAGCCAGCCCATTCCCTTAGAACTGTAAAGAAAGGGGTTACACTCTGGTAAAAGAAGATTGCTTATGTGATGCAGCAAAGTTTGAAGGTTAAATGGAGCACGTGAAATTCAAGTTTGGGCCCTGCCATAATAATTCAGTGATAAATTCTTTGTCTCATTAAAAAAATAATTAATACAATTGATGTACTAACTTCTGCCACAGTGCTGCTTTCATCTACTACAAAAAACAATGCTACAAAACGCTTCTATCACTATAAGCAATACTCTGTATCAGATGTGACTTTGTTTTATCTACATTCATTTTAATAGTCACCTACTAACTTCTTCCCACAACAATTTCTTAGGGTTTCTCTCAAATACAACTCCAGTTCCATTCCTCAACACTACTCATAAAAAACATTGAAATTGCATTTCAATCATTAGGCAAGAACAATCAGCAAATGCAAAAATTAAAAGTAAGTATTTGCATGGAGGAATGTAGAGAATGACAACAGACAGTAAATGATATCAACTGTCCATTTTATTAAGCATGCAGAGATGAAAATTATGCATCTTTCAATTATATATGATATGCAAGAGTAGCTGCAAGTCTCTATATGATACTTTCCAGAAGTATGAGAGAAACTGAGCTTACAGATTAATAACAAAAGCTGGAGTTCAATCTCACATTATCCATCACTGCATAGCCCATTGTGTTACCAGTGAATTGCTTCTCTTTGACAATACATGAAGTTGAAACCCAAGTCATTTTCTGCTTTACTGGTCCAACTGCAAGAGAGCTGTGAAATTCAGCTACTTGTCAAAGAAAATACTTACAATTTTTTTGTTTTCTATTAATATTGTTGAACTGTTGGTTTCGACATTCCTCAGAATCACTGTGCCATTCTGGTTTCTATAAATGAATTCATTATCTGCAAGGAGGAAAACAAAAGGTCATTAAGGAAATCTGAAATTGGCTGTTTGTGTGGAACCTAATTACAGACTTAAACCAAAAGTACTGCTGGGAACTTCTTTCTGAAGAACACAGATTAATTTTAACGCAGACATTGCTGAAAGTGACTTTGAGGACAGCCATAAAAAAACATGGTTAGTGTTTGTGACACGTTTGTTGTGCCACACTTTCCCTCAGATGAATGCAAGAGTGACCTGTTTTGAATGTACATAGACAGCTTGCTGTGTAGTTACAGTAGAAAACAAGGTCAAAAAACCCCATTCCTTATGATTAAAGGCTTCTGAGTTCCACAGTCTTTGTAGGAATTTAATAAGCCTGGAAAGTCTCTGAAAGTGAAAGGCAAATGACCCTCTGACAAAGCAGATTCTGGAACCTAATATTAGGCTCCAGCTCTGACATTTGTTCTGCAGACTTATACCAGAAGGAGAAACATGCAGAGAAATCACCATTTGCACATGAAACAAAACACATCAGCTTGTCTCTGTGCACTTTGGGACTTCTTTAGCTCTCCAGACAGGTGGACGAGGACAAAAATACTGGAGAGAGTGTCCAGCTCTCAAAGCACACAACCTGCCTGAAAGGCTGGGGCAGACACATGAAAGGGACTCCAAATGAGGGTTAGGTAGCAGGTCAGAAGTTCAGGATGAAAAACATTACAGCAATAAAGGGATGTCATAAACTGAAGGTCAAGTCTGATCAGTGCTTACATGCACTGCCCTGCAGATAAAATGTAAGTCCCAAGCACTCTGCCATTAAAGGAATCAGCAGTTTTTCTTGGCACAGGACTAGAGTTGTGTGTTTTTTGCAGCTTGGCTGAGACTGAGAACTGATGGATCCTACCAAACCTCTGCTTCCAGTTTCAGTTCAGGAAACAATTCCTCATTGCCTACCATTACACCTACCTACACCCCAGGAGTGTTACCATGATGCAGCAAGGATGTGTGGATGGTTTGACATTATCCATGGGTTGTCTTGGGCTGAGCCAAAGGTGAGTTTAAATCCTCTAGGACATGTCCAAGCACAAACCCAGCTCGCTGTAACTACAGAGGTGTGCACTGCCCACTGGGGGGACCTGCTACAGGCAACCCTGGGTTTTGAGACTTGGTTCTTTCAAAACTTGGGTGTAGAGACCCAGAATACTCATTATCCACATTTCAGTCTTTTGTTTCCATCCTGATGATGATAATCCTTCACCACAGTCAGTAACTAACTTTATAAAATGCTCTGAAGGTGCAGATTAAAGCTTCTATGCTCTACTTATTGCTGTCAATAAAAAAATATCCTCCTCCTCCATATCACAAATTTACACATGAATGGAAGAAGAAGAAGAAATCTTCTCAGAGATTTGGATGAATCAGATTCTGTAAGGGCAAGTGGTTGCTGCAATACTGTTGATCCTCTCAAAACCACAAAGTTTTAGAGACTTTAAGATTCTCAAAATCCAAATCAGAGCAGCAGCCCTTCAGACTCATAGGCAAAGTTCTCAAAGCATAACTTTTTTTAAAAATTATGGTATGAATTTTATCAACAACTGTCTTGAATAAGAAAAAAAAAATCAAAAAAAGGAAGGATCTGAATTAGATTGAATTGCATTTATCTTTAAAGTATTCCTTCATAAAATTTTTGACTGAGCAAACTCAGAAAGTTAAACTTGAGAAAGAACTGATTGAACAGAGCTAGGACAGAAGTCAAAAAAGTCATAAGCAGTATGGAGAAGATAAATAAGGGCTGCTTATTCCCTGCTTTTTCCAAAATAAATACTGGAAGGCACCAGATGACACCAGTCAGTGTCAGGTTCAACACAAATAAAAGGGATTATTTCTTCATGCTGAAGGCAAACAAACTGTGGAAGTCACAGTCCCAGAACAGAGCAGCTGCCAGGGCTGCAGGTGGATCCAAACTAGAATTACAAAAGTGGAAGAAAAATCCATCAAAGATTATATGTCTTGAAGGGGAACGCTGTTCAGGAAGCCCATGAAACAGCCATCGTGAAGGACTAAAGGAATATCCTGAATCCTCAACCTGAGAAATCTGCCTGCCTTTTAGAATCTTCCCTAAGCATTTGCCCTTGTCCTGGGCCATGTGCCAGAAGAGACAATCCCTGGGATAAGCAGCAACTTATTTACAACTCTAACTTCCAGCTTCTGTTTCCAGATCTTTAAGTAAAGTGTTTATGCCAACAATCTAGGAAGTAAGGCAATAAATTTTTAATGCTTCATATGCTTCCTACACACCTGGTCTTTATATACTTTATATACTCAGGCCACAAAGTCTGAAGCATTATTTGTTACAAGAGAGGAAAGTAGTCTAATTTTTTATTTTCCAGCAATATTTCAGGCATTCTAGAAATAATTAAACTGAAAGACAGACAATTACCTAATTATCAGACATGCTGAAAAATATTACTGCTTTAATAATTACTGCCCTCTGTCAACAACACAAAATGTTTTCCAATTCCACACTAAGCTCCAGACAGAAAAATCATGTTTTAAATATGGCTATCAAAACATTTGGATAATTATAAGGCTCTCAGGATATTTCCTAATTACAGAAAAAAAAAAAATGATGAAAAATTCAGCTCCAAGTTAGGTAGGTACATCGGTAAAGTAGCTTGTTAATCTAATGAGTCTGTGAAGCTGTTTCTTGAACAATGCAGGAACTGATGCATTACTGCCCATAATGACATTGGTACCAAATTTTATTGTTCCTTATGCTCCAAAAAACCCCATAACATTTTAATAAACTATGAAACTTTAAGATTACATAAAAGTTGTTCCATGGTTGGAAGCAGGAGATGACAGACTTCCCCATTATTTGTTAAACCATAAGAAGTTTAAAATCAGGTGCTACTCTGCTGCATGTACTTTTAGAATGCATAAAAAAAGAATAAATGAAGCAGTGCTGATTTGTCAGGGCTGTAAATCTTGCCATTATATTCAATACCAGTCATCAACACACTGTCTGAGTTAATGAACAGAAAATTGGTCTGCTTAAGAGAAGAACAAATTGATCTGCGTTATATTCCAAAAAAAACCACTGTGAGGTTTAGCTGGGCCTTAGTCCTCAAAAGATGAATAATATTCCTGGACTTCTGTTTTGAAATGTGTGATTTGTTCCAGTGCAAGAGCATTTATTTAAATGGGACATACCTCAATCAAAGCCAGAAAGCAATGCAGTGGCCTCTGTCTATAATGAATTCTGTCCAGCAAGCTGATGAGAATTTCCAGCCTGATTTATAGTTGTCACCAGAGCTGATAAAGGTCATCACTGCTTCTCATTTTTTACATCTGCCTTTCTTTGGGGCTAGTGTTCAGTATAAAAGATGCTGAAAATTATGATTTTTAGGCATGAAGCCATTTATTCCATTTCTTCAATATTTCCTGGATTTTTTCCATCTGTTCCTCACCAAAAAAATCTTGGATGCCTCATCCCCAGAGGTGTTCAAGGCCAGGATGGTTGGAGCTCTGAGCAATCTGGTGAAAGATGGCCAGTGGGGTTGGAACTGGGTGGTCTTTAAGGTTCCTTTATCCCAAACCTCTCTCTGATTCTAGGACTCAATAGCAAAGTTCACTTTTCCAACTCCTCACCCCTCGTTCAACTTCCAGGAAACTGGGTGGTAGATTGCATTTTCTGACTGTGAATGTTGACACAGATATGTAGTCAACTTGAAAATGTAGTCACACTTGAAAAGAAGAGACTGATTGCAAAAAACAATGATTACTATAAATAATGGATCAGCCTTGGGGCTGCACAGAGTCAGTGCAGAGCAATGGGGAGGCCTGGGGAGAAACTTATAAAAACCTGCTAAGCAGAACAGGTGAAATCATAAACCCCATCTGCTTCTCTGTCTTGAATTCAGTCAGAAAACGCACAGGCAGAGAAAACACCCAGGGAGAGGGAGCTCGTGTCCCTTGAAGTCACTGAGCCCTCACCAGGGACAGCAGAGTCAGACAGAAGAGCTCACCACAGTGGACAAGAAGGTTTGGGACAATTTTACTTCTAGAAGGAATAAGTTTGATTGCTGGCAGTGCAAAGAATTTGAAGGAACTACATCCATTGAGAGGAACATAGTAGCATCAGTGCCCAAAAATTTAGTGCAGTGAAGCTTCAAAGCTTCTCTGAATTCCACATTACCAGAGAGGAGAGACTGATTTATAAGATACTAGCAGGACCTATGAGGGGAACTTTCATTATTTGTCAGAGATTATGGAAAGCAGAAATCAAAACTGAGTGATAAAACATGAGAAAAAAAAGTATTTAAATCCAGCTCTAAAAAAATATTTTAATGAAATTGTAATTTTCTATAATTTTAACAACTGATGGAAAGTAGACAAAAAAAAGGATATGAAATTCACATGCAGCAAGTCAGCAGCAAGAGAAAGTGAATGAGAGTAGAGTCAGGACTCTTAGGGCCACTCCAGTCTTTTAGAGCCACAGATTTAGAGGAAAAGGCAACTTCTTCAGTCCTGATCAACAGACCTGAAAGATAACTGAATGACTCTCAGTCTGATGAAAGCCAGCATCGAGGGAATTATCATTTTCAATCCCTAAGATTAAGGAAGATTGGTGAATAAAGGAAATTTAAGTCCTGAAGATGTTCTAAGCCATTTCAGATAAATGAGCCCCCAGATACTAAGCAGGGCTGGCAACCACATTAGTGTCAGGAGAGCAGACAGCAGCAGGTCCTGTGGGATGAGCCCTCGTCCTTCCCAAGGGACAGAGATCATTCTGCTCCAGGCCACGAGCAGAGATGCTGGGATGGAGCTCTGCAGATGTCACAGGGCCACCAAAAGACCACTGGTACCCTTTTGTTATTCCTTGTGGGAGGAGAACAGAAGTTGTTGTGGGGTTTTTAATGACCCAAAGCAGTCAGATCTTTGGTGGTTTATCTTACATCTGGAGGTGGAGCCTTGCAGGAGCCCTGCAGCACTGCCCACTGCAGCGCACGGCATCACTCGG